GGTTGACCATTTCATTTCAGCAGCTATCTTACAGCCAAGCTACTTTTCACAAAAACTGATGAAGAGGTGGTCAAAAAATCCAAGTTTACTCACCACTGTAAGAGGTATCATTTTTTCTTTCCTGATTTTCTATGTTAGTGTCATCTGTGAGAAAAAAAAAGAGCATTCAGATAAAAAAAGCTCATAGTTCACAGCCACCTTTTCTGCTTTTTCGAAACACTACAGCTGGGAAATTGGGAGGGGAAAGGACACAATGAACCAGTTCGCACAATCAAACAACCCACTATGATCTGTTTTAAATGGTGCTTGTCATGCCATGCACCCCTGAGGAAGGTGTGGAATGAATGGCTTGCAGGCGTGTGCGTGTGAATGCTATTTTGAACATATTAAACGTTACAAGAAACAAACACAATTCAGGAAGTAAACTCCCACTCCAGCCCTTTCATACAAAGAACGTTCCCTTTTGTGCTATTTTCTTCTTACGACCTATAGTCTAAAGTGGTATATTCATACTACCATATTAGAATTCTACCAGTTCATTTCTAGCTCACTTCAGATCTGCTCTTCTCTTCAAGGAAGACTAGTAGCTGCTTTCATCATTTAGCCAGACAACTTCCATTAGGTTTGCTTCCTAATGCTAACACAGAAAGAGTTATGGCTGTGTTTGCACATTTCAGAATGCAAAGGGTTGGGTGTACTGGAGTTGGTCAGGAGGGTATAAGTGGATACTAGTCCTAATGGCAATATGCAGCCTCCTGTATCAGAGCCAATATGCCCATGTGTACCAGTTATTGCGAGACACAGCAGGAAGGAGCTGTTGTATTCCTATCCTGCTTCTGGATTTCCTAAGGTCAGCTGGTTGTGTGAACAGGAGGCTGGACTAGCTGGACCCTTTGTTTGATCCAGCTTGGCTTTTATGTTCTGATGAGAAGGGGAGAAAGAGTGGCAGAGACTTGCACTTCATGTTCCTTTCCTTTCTTCACCACATCTGAAGTCATGTCTACCCAGGGTGACAACCTGTTGCCCTCCAGGTGTTGATGGACTGCAACCCATCATTCTTGACCACTGAACATGTTAGGAAGGTAGGAGGCTGCCTTATCTGGAGTTAGACCATAGATATGTCTGGCCCAGTATTGCTGAAACTGCCGAGCAGCCTCTCTCCAGGTTTCAGGAAGGATTCTTGCCCAGTACCACCTGGATTGGACTATGGATTGGACTTTGGAACTTCTGCATGAAGAGTATGTGCTTTATCACTGAGTTATGGCTTTTTTTGGCTGGGACTGATGGGAGCTGGAGTCCAACACTCTCTGGAGACCTACAGATGGTAATCGCCCTCTAAAGATGCTTGCAAAAAATGAGGAACATTAGCCAGAGACCACACCAACCTGGTCCACTAAGATTTGACCTAATTTCACTCCTTGGGTTTCCGATGTTTGGATTTAAGCCAATTAAGTATCATTTCCTTCAAAGAATTCTAAGCTGGAATAAATCCAAGCATCTCAGCTTCACAGGTTCAAATACTGAGCTTTTTACATATAAATGTTCAAGAAAATTACTTTTCTGAATGTAGCACATGTCTGACCTAATGCTTTTCAGGGATTTTGTTGTAGCCCATTCCATTGATATTGGTAGTCTCAATAAAATTAGATTTTTATTTTATTTTTGCTGATCCAGGTACTACATTACTGAGTTAATGTTGATCTTATGCTGGCCAGCAATACCTGCCCCTTGTGTCATAAGATGTTATTTCTCTGGCATCCATTCTTGTGTTTCCTTGAACTTTTCTGTATATTTAGACAGCTACTTTCTTAATGACACTTCTTTACTTACTCTCCTCCCTGTAGCCAGCCAAGTGTCTGACTGGTTGGGTCCAGAGGGCTTTAAAATGACCTTGAGAGCCATAGGAAAGGAGGCAGATGACTACATACAGAACTTTAGCTATAATGTGCCCACCAGCTAGGACCTCTCTACACAAAGGATTTATAGGCCATGCTTGGGAGCATGCTCATAATTTCCTCCTCCTCCAGGGCTTCTCTTGTGTTTTCCAGTCGGTCTCACAGTTTTTTGAATGCTGAATCATGCCATTGGAAAGGGCCCAGAAGGTCATTGGGTCCAATGCCCTGCTCAATGCAGGATTCAAGTCTTCCCTCCAGACTTTAACCAGGCCTGAGCCTGCTAAGCTTCCAAGATTAGGCAGGATCAGGCAATTCAGGCCATATGGAAGCTACTAAAACTAAGAAAAGTGCAGTCTATGGCTAAGTCTAAATTATAACAAATAAAGTCCTTGGGAGAAAAGATATCACTGTAAGTGCCAAGTGAGTCTGCTTGGAGAGGGCATTCCCATCACAGGCTACCACAAATGAGAATGAACTCTCTCTTGTAACCATCTACCTAAATTCATTCTGCAGAGAGCACATGAATGAGAGCCTCCAGATTTAAGAATTTAAGAAAGGTGACACTGGAGAAGACCAGTGGCCTATCCCATTCAGCACTATGTTCATGCAGTGGCAAACCAGCTGTCCACAGGATCATTCAAGTAAGATGGGTCCAAGAGGTCCATCTGCGCAAGCTCCTGTGGTATTAGGATGACCTGTGGTGCGAGGATACATGGTATGGGGTAGCCTGTTAATAGGGGCATAATCTTGTATGCTTTTCTTTCTGAGACTGGTTGATCATGGGTTGTTGCTTAACTATGGCTTGTTGTTGAAATGTAGGTTGTTGTGTTGTCTGAGCCAAGCCAAGATAGCCATCCATGGTAAACAACCAGCAGTTTACAACCCAGCAACAAACCAGGGCTTCCCCTGAAGAGTTTTTCATAGTTAACAAGCCGTTGCTTGTTAGCATAGGTGGTTCAGATAACTTGATAATCCATGGTTCAACAGCATCCTGCATTCAACCCATACTCAACTACGGAGTGTGCATTATTGTGCTGCCTGAATCGAATCACTGGGTCTGACTCAGCATATGCTCCACTGCATTTGGAGGGATTTAATTCTAAGCAAGTATAGATCAGCTAAATTAGCAATCTACCAAGGAGCACATTCCTCTGGTGGTATTTCAGGGGCTGCATGCCAGGGTTGGCAAGGTCAGATCTGGCACTGTGAGTGGCTAGAGGAAGAACTGAGTGGAGCCACCCCTGTTTGTTCCCCTTCTTCCCTCTCTCCTACTGCCTCCCTTTCAGCTACCCTTTCTCCCCACCACCTCTTTCCTACTCAGTAGGCTAGCATGGAAGAGATACCTGAGCAAGAGTTTCTATCTCTCCTCCCACCCCACTGCCCATTCTGGCTCTTTGAAAAGACAATCTGCCATGTCTGGTCAATAGTATTAAAGTTTCCACTTCACATCTTTGAAAACTGCCAGCCAATGACTGATGGCACCACATCAGCTTTAACTGATGTAGAAAGCCAAGGAAACAGACAATGATGGACAGATGAATTGCACCTGTTCTATAACTGTATGATTCTTTTCAATCACCCCTGCAGTCCTTTGGGGGGCTGTGAGTTGGAGGGACAGCTGTCCATCTAAAAAAGAATCTGGGACGAAGTCCAGACTCATTGCTGAAAAATGAGGAGAGCAGTATTGTCTGAAGTAAGTTTTTGTTGGGCAATGAACTGTGAAGTCAGGAGGGAGGAAGCCTAGTATTTTTGGCACAGTGGGCTTGTGTTTCAGATGGTCTGATTTTAGTGGGTGGTTAGGAGGCCAACAGATGGTATGGGAGAAAGAGACTCCCAAACTAACTTTCCTCCATCATATTCTGAAATAAACCACAGCAGCTTGTTTCTGTCTTTCCTTCCTTCCTTTCTTTTTGGATGGCAAAGAAAAGTCTTTCCATTTTTAAAGGGAAAACTATAACTATTGTTTTGCTTTCTGCAAATACTTCCAATTATAGGAATACACTTGTCAAAGTGACTGTGGATAAAACTGTTGCTCACAGGACCCAGTTCTTAGGGCAGGACCTTGGGCCTGGGGTAATTCAAGATCTTTCTCCTAGCTAGTTCTTCCTATTGTTTTGGTGTAATGCAAAAGTAATACTTGTCCAAATTCATACCAAAGTATAGGAAGGAACTGCGACTCGGGTTGCCACTTAGGAATTGGCCAATAAGAGGAAATGCATCACCAAAAGTGGAACAAAGGACTATAAAATGTCCATCCATCCATCCTTGCATCCATCTAGATGTAAATATTTAAAAGGAACTCAGTGTAGCTAGAAAAGCATCACATTTCACCACCATTAGGTAGACTGTGACCTGGTGGTGATGTATGTGGATGTTTAGTTTGCTACGTAGATACTAACTGTCAATGGGCAACTTCAAGGTTCTTGCTCTCTCCTCTTCTTTAAACTGATCTTGGACTAGACAAGATCCTTCAAGATCTTCCTTCAAAGAGAGCATTCCTTCAAGTAGAACAATGTCCTCTGATATCCCCTCAAACAGAGAACCTTTTTATGTAAAATAGAATGCATGCCCACCCTGAATATGATGCCCAAAGCAAAGGGATACTGTTACCATGGAGTGATATAGGCAAGGACTAACCTATACGAGACAAGAGTGTCTGTTTTTTCACATGAAACACCTTACTGGATGTCTTGGCGATTTACAGCCCTACTTATCAGCTGAAGTTTGGAAGGCTTGCTGATAAAGGTATAAAATTAAATTGTGGCAAGTCTCAAGTTTGTCCTCAAGCTTTACCATCTGAACCAGACCATATTGTTTCTGCAATATCTGTGTACTTAACCAACGTTCTAGTTGAGCATGTAGCCAGATAGGTAGTGCTAATCTTTAAACCACCTTAAGTTCTCCAAAAGAAATAGCCTGTCTCTTCAACTCCCCAGGGTGAGGACTTGCCACCTAGTTGTAAATTCTGGCTGGGGCTTTTTCCTAGCAACATGTCCAGCTGAAAACCGGCTCTTCTGGCTACTACTCTGTAATGGGCCAGCTTTGAGGTGTGCTCTTGGACCTGCAAGGCCACATTCATGCATGCAGGCATGTGATTGCCTTTTGTGGGGATGGCAGCTCTGATTACCTTTCCGCCACTTCCCACAGTAGTTTCTACATATGTGTGGCTGGAATGAAATAGTACAAATATTGTTGCCTTTTCATATTAGCAAGTATTGATATTCTTGGGGTGATCAAAGATGTAGGATCACAATGGGCCCTCAGGGAACTGGGGTCGCAAATATTAGGAGTGCTACAGACAACTGGGGGAGAGGAGGAGGAGGAGGAGGAGGAGGAATAATAAGTCAGTCTCTTTGCTTTACTTTTTCTCCTAGGTAATGGAATCTGTCTATAATGTACTTACTTTCAGGTGTTTCTGGTTGCATTACTGCTGTACTCTTGGGGGTAACAGGGTGCCTAGCTGTTGCCATGCCATTATGACCTATAGGAAAAGAAAGTCACCCAGTAAGCTTCACGGAGTGGGAGGATGTCTTGGGTCTTTCCAGTCCCTACAGCACGCTAGCTCTCATCATTACCATATTCCATCCTGCAACAAACGACTTCCACTTGTTTGTAAAGTCTGGATATTCCAGATTCTGTGCTGAGTTTTCATGCTGACAACAGATGCCCTCAGGAACATTTAGCACTGCCATGGAAACTCTCTGTAGGATTAGGCACAGCCCATGTAGTAAGTCACTCTAGATTTTATGGCAGACTGAAATGAGTCATTGCAAAAGCAGCTTGCAATGGGAATGAAATAATATACTTACCATTCTTACACATTTATTTTTTAGGATGCACACATTCATGGAAAAGTCATTCAAGTAAGCTCAGGTGGTGAACCATGTCTCTAAGACAAGGCTTCTTTCTGACTTGCTACTTTTCCTACATGCAGGACATGTTTGATAGGGGGGAGTATTCAAACAGATCAGCCCTGCGGATCTATGTCACTCTGCTGATCTTATTGCTTGACTTTAAAGCATAAACCGCAGCAGATGTTAGCCTTTGCCAAGGATCTCATCTGAGAAAAAGGAATAAGCCTTGCTGAGCAGAAGGAGTTAGTCATACAATAACCTAGATCATGAAGTATGCTTATATATGCACTGACTTTATATGTGAAAGATGCCTAGAAAAATTTCTTTCCATTAATTAGCAGAGGTTATTATTCTTATTTTAACAATGTTTTGATGTCTCCAGGCTAGTAAATCTGTTAGTGGGTCAAGTGGGTTCTGCCTGGTCATTCCTTGCAGTAGGTACTCTTCATGTTTTCTTCTTCTGCAAGAACTAGCACCCAGGGATAAGATTAAGAAAATTATACTGGTTGGTTGGTGCTGATGGGGAAAAAATTACCTCCCCCCCTTCTGCACACACATTAATGCCATTCAGAGGTGGCTATGACTGCTTTTTAAAAGAAACTGAAAAGGAAAAGAATGCGGGGTCAGGGGAGAGGGAATTTGATCGTGGTTCTCCAATGCTTCATTTAGTTTGGCCCTAAGAGATGGTAGTTTATTGTTTTTCCAAAGTTGCCAAATGGCCTCAGGTTGAAATGTAGAACATAAGTATTTCATAATACCTGGTGTAAATTCAGAATATTTCAGTTTAAGGACTGAATTCTGTTCCAGAGAAATTTTGTGAGCCACATTCCAATAGTAGGAGGGTTCAAATGATAAAAGAATGCGAACAAATAGAAAAGAAGCTCTTACTATCTGCCACTATGCCTTCAGAATGGTGAGAAAGGCAAAGAGAACAGCCCCCCCCACCCCTCCGGGATGTCACCAAACATTAGCAGTTGGAAGAAGGGGGATCGGCATGCCGAAGGCTTGGCCTTCTTGGGACTCCAGGTGACTCATTTGAACCCCTGACCTGAGATTCTGTTGTGGGGATTCAAAAGCATGCTATGGGAATTCATAGATAGTTTTGTTTTTGACAAGCTACTTTTGACCAAGTAGAGTTTGAATGGGTAGGAGTGCCCATATGCCTATTTTCTTTTGCTCAAAAGAATATAGAGAGATTTTTCCTGCCACTGTAGATAAGTCATTTACTTCATAACATCAGAAGAAATCTTTGGTGAAGGATGCTTCCCCATATAAAGCATGCCCTTCATGCAGGAAAAGTAGCATGCCCCCAAGAAGCCTTGTTCGATGCAGACACAGCGTACCACCTGAGCATACCTGAGTGTCTTTTCCATGGCTCTCTGCATCCCGAAAAATCTCTGCGTAAGGACCAGTCATATCTGATTTTATTCCCACTGCAAGCTGCTTTTGCAGTGACTCACTTCAAGCCAATTGCTTTATCTTCCCTTTTCATTTCCTGTTTTGCTCTTTTAACTGACACTCAGCATTTCACGATACCCTCTAGTGATCACTGACTATGTTCTATTTTTTCTTCTTCTTATGGTGTCTGTCTCCTTTGGGACTTTTTACAAAATGATTTTCTAATTCTCAGTACCCCGGGGGCTCCTAGTTGCATGCAGAAACCTCCCTCTTATTTTCCAGAGGCCCATCTTGGCTTCATTTCTACTGTAACTAAGCTTAGAATAGAGGAATCCAGGGGGGTAGGGGGAAATCTAGTAGATTTTCCTGTCTTAGATCAGATTCCATTCTTTCAATCTTGAACCAGCACCGACTCGATCCCATGTGAGTCTTCCCCATCACTTTTTATCAAGTCTCCTCCTCACAGCATGTATGATCCAGCAGTTCCATTTGTATTGGCAGCAAAACATCTGTAAGTGCTCCACTTATCTTTGCAAGCACAGATTGTTCTCAGGGACAAACCCAAGATCTGTCTATTACAGGAAAAGCCAAAATGTTTACTAAAATTATGTACTCCAGATATTTCAGATCTGAAGGTGAGAAATAATCCATGACCCTTGTTTATGGAACAAGTACCTTCTGGGATCCAAAGCAGAGGCATTCTCAATCACTTTCCATCTTATAATGAATGCCCAGCCTAAGTTCTTTATTAGATTCCAAGGTGGGATGGGAACCAAATGCCATATGAGACTCCATTTCTTCTTGCTGTATCTTATGCAATATTTTTTTTCTTTTTGGTAATACTAGGACCTGGCCAAGAATGTTGGTCTGATTTTTCTTTTTCTACTTTGGAGCTGGAGGTACTTAAAAAAGTTGAGTTTTATGAATTGGCAAGAGTAGTTTTCTTATTCCCCCCACCCCTTTCCTTTTTGACTGTCTTTGTAAAAATGGAGGCTTGGCTAAGAGGACAGCAGCCATGTTGCCATTTTGACAATGGAGCTGAAAAAATGGGGAAAGAAAACATTCCATCTTATCTACATTTTTCGAAGGTCAGTCAGGCTGCCAGTCACTCAGCTAGGTTGGCTGTTCATGATTCATCTCCAAAAAAGGTTAAAATAAGGAGACAAATTTGTATAACATTTTCACAAAGTTCATGTATAGGTACTGTTGCAAGTTTAGAAATGATTATTATAATTTAAATAGAAGTATAGTACATGTCACTAGTACATTCACGATTAGATTAATTTCACTGTAGTGCAGAAGACTGCAACCAGGTGACTTTTGTGCCTTGCTCAGCTGCTGTCCTGGTGCTAACAGTGGATGGGCAAATTCAAGGTCCAGATTTTTTTAAATAATTCTTTATATGAATACTGAATTTAGACTGGGACAGTTGCTCAAATGGAGGACACTTTCAAAATAAAGGCCACTGCTTTGGCAGCTCTTGCAATAAAAGTGTGTCCTCTGTACTTTTTATATTTTTAAAAATATGAAATGGAGAATTAGAGAGAGAGAGAGAGAGAGAGAATAGAGGCCCCACCCTCACCACTTTTTAAAAATGCAAGCAGTTAAGGAGCCCCTGGACACCAGTGATTATCCTCTAAATTTCTCCCGCATCTTTGCAATGGAAAGATGGCCATGTGAAGGCGGTGGTGATGATGGGGCACGGTGCATGGATAGGGTGGATCTGCCGTAATCCTTCCTAGGCATACATATGATAAGAGGCAGAAAAGTTCTTCCTTACCTGCTGGCCACTTGCTTTTAAAAGATCCAGGATATTCCCAATAAATGAGAAGCAGTGTAAATCTAAGCAAGTGTGGGCTCAGAAAATACACCCCTTTCTTGGCAGCTCTGTACGCCCCCAAACACTCTTCCCATCATTGCACACTGCCCCAAACACTCTCCTGAAGCTTTCCTTTACTTATTTGGCTGTGTTCAGGTCAGGTGTGAACTGGATGTATTCTAATGAATAAACTGAAAAGAATTTGTCATCTATTCGTAATAGCATGGTTCAAGCTGAGGTGGGAAGAGAAGTGCCCTGTACCAAACTTTCATATAAGAGCATAACAAGCCACAGATCATATTTTTGGAGGCACTTGGCTCCAAACTGCTAATGCAAGGAATAATTCAATTATCCAGTCTAGCCAGTGCACTAAATTATATAGCCCTGTTAAGGGCTTCATTAAGTACAGAGTGTCAGCTAAAGATCTCTTGTTTGATGACCATAACTGGAACTACCTAAATGGATATTTATTTCTTTGGGAATTTTTTTACCCCTCACTTCCACACAAGTGTCTGGTAACATTGCAAAGGTTCTCTCCACCCCTTTTATCTGTTTAACAGTTCAGAGAGGCAGAGCGAGTGAACCCAATGGAGCAATGGGGATGTGAGCTGTGTCCTAAGCTGAAACTCTAACCACTATACCACATTACAGCACTGCATCCCCACATCACTCTGGATTACCTCTAGAAGGCAGAAAGAGAGAATGTGGAAGTGGAGCTCTCATCCACAGAAGTAGCAGTATCCTGTAATGCATGGAGCAGGCTGGGATAAGTTTTCCCGCATTTATCAGGTTTAGGTTGATGGCACCCAAACTCAAAGGCTGGCAGTCATCCAGTGCAGGATGGAAAGACCAGAGGAGGCAGTCTTTGCCTCCATCCTCCCATCTCATGTTGCCCACTAGATGGGCTTTTTCACCTGTTAAACTGGAATGTCTTGGAGGCAAAGCTAGAGAACCATCATGATACTCATATTCTGGCTACTCAGGTCTCCTTCACTTCCTGTTCCTGAAATTCCTCCTCCTCTCTCTCTCCACGATCACTTTTCTGAGCTTGGAAAGCAGCCAGTATAGTTCCTTCTATGCAGGATGCAAGTTAACACAGGAGCAAGGTTTGGAGCTCTGCTTCCTTGGTCTGAGATTGAAATACTGCCTCCAACCTCAGATCTGGGAATGTGAACAACCCTACAGTCTCTCTGTTGCTATCTAGGGTCATGCTGGGAGTTGTTGCTTTCTTAACCTGTTTAGGATTCCGCCTTCACCCTTTGACCAGCAGTAGAAAAATCAGCAATGAAAATTTCTGCCTGGCTCCAGTTCAGAGGGCTGAGAATGCAACAAAGCCTCTTAGCCTGGAAGGGATGCTGCCACAGTAATGCAGTCATTAAATTGTTTAATGGGTTAGTTGTCAGCACTTGATTATGTATTGGGCTGTAATGGATATGGCTTACCAGGTCTTGTTGATGGAGTCAAGGAAGATGGTGAAGTCAAAGTCTGTTTTGGTGAGGCAACCATCCCTGCAGATATTTTGATAAGATAAATGACATTGTGTTAACTGTTCTCAAAACATATTTGTCAAAGGAATAATCAGTTGCTGAGTGACAAGAAACCAGAGTTTTTCAACAGAGCTGTTTTCTGAGCATCTTCCTATCCCACCCCTTAAAAATTATTTTTGCTCTAAGCACTGTAAAATCCAACCATTCATAACAGAAGATAAGAATATTCACTAGTGTAAGCTGAGAATATTATCCCATCCCATAACAGAGTGTAAGAACAATAAGTAGACTTCCATGATTTGAGAGTTATATTTTCAGAACACTAAACTACATGGTGCACTAAGTAAGTCACATGCATTCTCACCACTTTATTTAACTTAATGTGAATGTGTAACACCCTGATATCACCAGGGGTGGGGAGCTGAACTTCCACCCTTCCCTCTGAGCCACATTTTCATCCTAAATGTCACCAGCCCAGCTGTGGGGATTAGAAACAACAACCTGTCTCTCTTGTTTTTAGTTCCCCTGGCAGAGGCTGGTTGAAAATCAGGGAAAACATGATTGGGTGGGAAGGTTTAAACCTCCTCTACCTGTATGCAGTCATCTCAACCTTAGCATTTACACTAAGGCAAGAACAATTTTAAAGAATAAAAATAAATAAAAATAGGAGAATAATTTGCATATATCATACCAACTCACCCAGCTTACTCACTTGCTTTTGCTGTTTTCTTACCCTGTTGGTGGTGGCTGAGTTGGTGAGTATTTACTGCTGTTGTCCCATTTACATCCCACTTTTTTTTTTTTTAACTTGCAAGGCATCTGAGGTGGCCCACAGGTTCCCCTTCCTCTCCACTTTAGCCTCAGTCCTTTGAAGTAGGTTAGGGTGAGACTGACTCGCCCAAAGTCAACCAGCGACCTTCAAGGCTGTGTGGTGACTCAGTCTAATGCTCCAGCCCTTAACACAGCACCTGCCAATGGAGGGCAAGAAGGTCCCTCTGCCAACACCCCCCTCCACTGATCCCGTCCCCTCCAGCTTGCTTAATACGGGAGAGGTGGTCTGGAGAGGGGAGCCTACACAATGTGTGTAGGTTTTTCAGAGACAGTCTGTGCACATAGAACTTGTATGCCCTTTGGACATTGCCCCACATATTTGAGGGTCGTGGGCGACCATGATCACAGCAGCAAGGACAGAACCAGGAGCATGACACCACTCTCCCTTCCTGTGATGAGCCACCTGGGTGACTTTGGGCCAGTCACAGACGCTCAGCCCAGCCTACCTCACAGGGTTGTTGTTGTGGGGATAAGATGGAGGAGGAGAAGATGTAGGCTGCCTTGAGCCCCTTGTAGGAAAAAGGCAGGATATAAATCGAAATAAATAAATAAATAACACTCAAGTAGAACTCTAGATTTCCACTGAAGTGTTGCAGCGGTATCAGGTTAGAAGTAGCCACTTAGCACCTTCTGAACTAGGAAGGTTATGAGCATTCAATCAGGGATGTGGGGCATCCCTTGCTTCTCTTCTCCCCATCCCCATAAAATGCTCCCCTCAGTGCCTGTCCTGAAGACCTCAGCTAAATGAAAAGAACCCTTCTGAGGGAGGAGTCCCTCCTGCAATTTAAGAAGGTTTTCCTGAAATCTCAGCAGGGACTCCCGCTTTTCCCATGACTGGCCAGGCAGCATCTATTGACCATAGGATTGTGTATCCAAAAAGAATGAAAACCTAGTCGAAGGGAGGGAAGGTGCTTCTGGTTTTTTAGCTGAAATAACAAGGCAGAGAAAGGGCTTCTCTTTGTTTCTGAAATGCAAATCTGGGTGAAAGTGTCAGTGAAGGAGAAAGAAAGCCCTCAAGGTTGGGAGGGTTTTTCTCACATGCATAACAAGAGGTGACAGCAGCCACTGGAGTTGGAGCAGAGAAAAGAACTGCAGACAGATCTCTGCTCTTAAGCTGGATTCATTTTCTGAAGCTTTATATCACACCTCTGTTTTAATTGAAGGGGGCAGAGTTGTTCAGAAAATAGATGTCCCTCACCGGCAAAGCACAAGCAAGGACATACTGAAGAAGGCTTCTAAAGAGAGAGATAAAGAAAACCTGTAACAAAATAGATAAGTTGTCTTACACTCTTTAGAGTCACAGTACCAGTGTAAGCTTTACAAGAACATTTAGGATTTTTTAACGTCAAAGGTATTCTTCACTTTTCTGGAATGCACGTGACTGGCTGCGAGAGAGCGGAGAGAGGGCAGGTGGCAATGTGGTGATGCGCAGTGTGAAGAGGGATGAATTTCCTCCCGGACAATCAAGCTCTTGGCTATCTGCTGTGGTTATCTTGAAAGGGAACTTAGAAAGGAAACTTGATTTCTTGGAACAGTAACCCATTTATGATCACACTCTATATTTAGCATGGATTCCTTTAATCAGGGGGTAAACATCTGGCACATAATTGAAACTTGATTTTACTGCACTCAGAATATTCAATGCCATGGACAAATGGGAAAAAACCCCTTAAATACCACCGTCTGGGTAGAATCGGGCGGTTTCTCCTTTTGCCTCCCAAAAACTGGACGAAGCAATGATTTGGGTCCCTTTCTGCTAGGTTGAGTTTGCACTTCTTCCCTCTACTAATTAGTTAGGAACAAAGGGAGTTGTGCAGGATGAATCATGCGCCTCACAGCCTGGAGTGCAATTGCACTGGGTAAGGGGGTTGGTTTGGCTGGTTCTCCTGCCATGCTCCTTTCCCCAAGTTCATGCTTTTGGCAGTTTATCAAATAGTTATTTGGCAGGCTGTGGGGAGCACAGTTGTGTCTGGAAAGATGGTAGCATGAAGAGGCTCCTCTCCATGTGCCTGTTTCTCCAGCAGATTTTGCTAGAGCACCTGGCAACTTGGTCATTCCTGGAGAATGAATGTCTATCTTATTACCATGCTTGATATGTGCTGTTTTGATAAGTCCTTGTTCAAAAACTTGTAAAAAAACCCAGATCTGCTGACTGAAACCATTTTAGTCAATCAACATTGACTAAACACCATTTTAGTCAATCAACATGGTGCCCTGGATGGTTTTCAGGTGCCTACAGGGGCAATGGTGGAAATTGCCTTCATTTCTTCCTCCAGCAGGAACATCTGTGGGATTACAGCCCTCTCTGAGAAGGGAAGGAGCTGTTCTGTTCAGGGAAGGAGCACTCTGGATCCAACTCATTGTTGTCTTTCCTCCCTAAATCAAATACTGCAAACCTTTGTCTTTAACCATAAGAATTTGAGGTTCTATTCCTGCAAACACACAAGGAAGTAGTGGAAAATATTGGATTCAAAGATGACTGAAAATAGCATCATTCAGTTTGCATGGTATTTGTATTAGGCTGTCCTACTACCGTTAGCAAAGAAATGGACTTCCGGGGTAATTCAGGCCACTGCTGAAAAGACAGGCTTGTCTTTCTTCATTTTACCTTCCCTACGTGCCGCACAGTTTAATTTTCAGTAAGTTTAACTCTAGGTGGCTTTAGTGATACCCTCAAGCAAGGAATTTCTCCATGACCTAAAGGAAGAGAAGCCTTGTTCTTTTCTTTCTTTCCATTCATGAGGGCTTGTGTTAAATGTGGAAAGACAAAAACAGAGGTTACTCCCATCCTCAGAGCTTACAACATCATTTCAAGTGATAGTGGCATCAGAATTCAGCAAAGCTCTATTTGGTGCTTTCTTTCTCTTGGCAACAACAAGGACTTGGGTGCTGCAGGTAAGTAAAAAAGAAAAAATGTGCTTCCAGTACTATGGTTAACTGTGAAACCTTCATGTGTAATTATGTCTTTCAGATGCTGTAAGGCAGCCCTTGCTTTTAAGAAGTCCACAGTATTCCTGTCCAATACACCTTATCCATTCACAGTGCACACTAAAAGGAAAAGACAGCTTATGCGGAAGGTTGGCTAAGGCCATATTTTGAGTTATGTAAGAGGAGAGTCAGCTTCAGATTTTCAGGGCTCTTGGACTGCACCTCCATGGATCCCATCTTTCAATGAGTTTATCATCACTGATACCAGTAGCTGTTTCTCCATATCCTCTTTCTCATCATTGCTACCACTTGCTTGCATGTCAGGCAGAGAGCCAGAGAACAAGGAGGCCATGGCTTCTCCTGATCCTCCTTCTCATCACCATCATCACCTGGGACAGAGTGAGAGGCAGGTGAAGAAACAGTGTAAGGCCTAGGTGTGGATGGTGGGTGGCTATGGTCAAGATGCTGGGACCAAGGTGCAGATGCAGAGCGGAGGTTTGTGCCAGGTTTACAGGGCACACCCTGTAAACAGGTACATCAAGAGGCAACAGGTACATCTTTGAACAGTCTGAGGTTGAGAGCCAGCAAGACAACAAGGCTCGGGCAAAAATCATGGTTGAAGAACTCAGTCCAAAGGCCAGGTACTGGAATGACAGTCACGTTCAAGAGCAAGGAGAGGCCAAGGAAGAAGGGTGTAGGTGCTTGGTAGGGCAGGAGACAGGAATGGAAGCAGGAACAGGCTGGAGCTGGGCAGCAATCAGGCACATGGGCTTGGAGCAAAGTCTTGGTTCAAGGTGAAGTTGGAAGCCAAAGCATGAGGTAGCCCCATAACAGCTTGTGTTGGTGTGGCAAGGAGTAGCAGTGCTTCAAAGCCTTCTGTGTAGCTTTGCAGGGCTTCCAGCTGCACTGCATGATTGGCACACTGCAGTTCCATGCAAGTACTTGCAAGGCTGTTCTTGGTTTTGTAGGCATTTGCAGGGTGAATCAGAGTCCGATCCTGACAAGCAGGTTTATTATTTATTTTATCTATCAAAAGCTTTTCTATCCCATCCCTTACAGAACGACTTGGGACAGCTTACAAAAAATTGTCTCCTTGCAGAGGAGAGGAGGAGAAGCAAGTCGAGAGTACCAGTACCTTTCGTACTCAAAGTGTCTTTACTGATGAAATTGAGCAGAGGATCCTGCACAGAAGCCAAATGGCATCCCTTCATCTAGCCCTTCCTTCATGCATGCTGTGACTCTCCCCAGCAGTTTTAGGAAAGCCTAACTGTTGAGGAGAGAGGTCAAGAAGAGAGGTCACTTGGGCTGGATCCAACCAGAAGACTGGCCTCTCTCCATCCCTGATCTATGGCATCCTATGAGGGGAAGCCGCATTCACATGACAGAGCTGTGCCTGGATCTCTTGTCCTCTTTGATGTATTTGAGGAGGGAAAGAAAAAAATTCCACTGGGGGTTTAAACCCATTTTTGTGGGATGGCACAGCTTGGGTTCGCTTGGTCAAAGCACTGGGACTGTTTATTTGTGGGGGCAGTGATATCATATGCCACTCCTTTTGGGGTTCTCTGTTCCCTTTGAGTTTAGCTGCAGTCCTCACTGTGGTTTGACTAGAGGAGCGGGGTGGAGGGGAAAAGATTATCTGAGCATTATTATATGTGGCCAGGGTAGCTTAAGCAGTCATACAGACACACCCAAAGTCTTCTGTTCTTACATCAGACCCAAAGATGCTTTCACCATCTAAATTTAGCAAATAGAATAATTGCAACTTTGAAAATTTCAGTGGTGGGTGCACAGACTTGTTAAAAGTCTTCAAAGAAGTGCTAGTTCAAAAGATTTAGAGAAGGAAAAAGAAAAAAGAAGCAGAAAGGGAGATGGCACCATCTTTGCATTTCCAGGGGGAACCTCAGGAGTAAGGGAAATAAGACTGAATTTGCAAGGACATTTAAGAGAATAGAAGATATTTGGGTGATGTTTTGGCCGACAACTCACATCACCTCTTAGACCATTTGGTCAATGGTGAGCAATTGTAAAGGAATAGGAATTGGCATTCATGGGCATTGCAAGTCAAAACAACTGGAGGGCAATAAGCTGTCCACCCTTGGTACAGATACTGTTAAAGGCAAGGACATTATGTTAGGCTGCCAGTTAACTGCAGTCATATTTAGTAAGTGTTTATTTCTTCATATCATAACCCACTGTTCTTCTTGCAAGGAACCCAAGGTGGCTCACACTATTTCTATTACCTTCTGTTTTATCCTCACAACAATCCTGTGAAGGAAGCAATGCTGCAAATCAGTGACTGGCCCAAACTTATCCAGAATGGTTATCAGATCTCCTGAGTCCCAGAGCAAAATTGGCATAGAGGATTGTGATTACAGTAGAGTTGCTTATATAAGCAGGCCATTGCTTACATCAGCTCAAGCCAATGCTTCACAGCTGCCACTGCCTGGCTTGCTTGGAACACAACTTCACCATCCCAGGGCATGCCATTCTCCAGTTCTCTTCCTGACCAGCTGCAAAGTGGTGTCCAGAACTGATCCGTACCGAGTTCACAAAGGATGACTACAAACTGCAGCAAGTTCAACAGGTTGTTTGCATGAGTTTGCTAACCTTGTTCAGAAAACTTGGATGCTTACTTCACTGCTTCAGGTATCTCTTTTTTATAGTATGCTTACAATAAATATATCAGTAGTAGACAGAAATGCAGCACTTACTGGTAGCTGTACCATTGGATGTTGATTGCCGTACAGTTGTAGGGGTCGGTGTCTGTTGGGTTGATGAATTTGTTGGATTTGCTGATTTGAAGGTATCACCTGAAAAAAAGAATATGCAACTTTTTATATGGCTTTCCCCTTTTCCATTTATACCTTTTTTTTAAAGAAGCAGCGTAAGTCTATGAGAAACAGAGAGAAAAAAATCCAAAGTCCACACATGCGCAATATTTCATTAGGATCAACAACACTTTTGAGTTTGGTTCAACCAAATTGCCACAAAAGGGGATACAAACTTTTGAGTTGTTATAATCTGCCCAGAGAGCTTTGGCTATGGAGCATTATAGAAATTTAACAATGACAACGACAACAATAGAGTTTTCTAGAGCCCTTCATTAGGATAGTTAGTACAAGAGGCAGGGGATGGAGGAAGAAACAGAAAAGTCCCTATAGAGGGTCTTGTGTTGTGCCCATGAGGTCTGTGTTGCAAACTCGGCCAGTTTTGTTTTTTAAAATATTGGTCCAGCTCTTAATTTTGTAATGCTATGCAAAGATTCCAATCCTATACCCATTTATTTTGGAATGATGTCCTAGTCAACTGTTCTTGCCATCACATGTAGGGCAGAAGGGAACACACTCCCATAGCCCACCTTCTCCATCGGATCTCTCAGAGGTTAGTCTTTCCCTCTTTCCTTCCCAGCAGGTCAGGACAACTAACTAAAGTATTTATTATGTTAAAATGGGTCAGCTGTCTGGGACCTGTGATACAATAGGAGTAATGCAGAGGTTGTCAGCAAAATGTAACAGACATGTTAGGAAGCCTGATCATTAGGGCGGTTACTGTTCATGCCAAAAAGTTAATTCAAAACTGAATCCCTCTCCTCCCATGGAACAAGGAGGTTACCCTTCCTTTTGGGCCAGACTGTTGGGAATGCCAAGCACTACTCAGTTGGCCTCTTATCATCATCTGGTGTCAGGTGATGGGACTGATTACTTTCTATCCTTCCTGCTCTGGCCTTCCTGTTCAACATTGTCTCCTCCTGAACCAGAGATAATCTGGTTCCCACCAGCTGCTTGGCTTATCTTGGGGAATATTGGCCTAGGAATTTTCAGCTAGGCGTTCTGACTTTGCCTCTTCTTCCAGGTCAGATTCAGACTCTAAAGTAACCACCTTGGAATCCTGTAGTTTGGGGAAAGAAGACCCAGTCCCTATAAAATCCCTATCTTCCAGGTTCTGCCACCCTTACTGTGCTGCCTAAGGTCCACATGACTGGGTTTCCCAAATCTCAGGGGCCTGCAGAAAGAACAGGTGCCTGACTGTAAACCTTTGCTCTTGGACTGTAAACCTTTGCTCTTGGACTGTAAAAGAGCCCCTTTGCGCTCTTTTACAAAGGACAGTCTTCTCCTGCAATTGCTACCTGAGAACTGTTCTCTATTTGAAAAGTTACCAAGTCCAAGTCTGATTGTAAGGATAAAGGACCAACAGATGGAAAAGCTGAACCATGGAGTTCCTCATCAAAATCAAATAGATGTAGATTAAACAAGGCAGACCGAGCAAGGTTGCCTGGTTACAATCTTCTGCACTATACTGAGAAAGAGAAATTTCTGCTTAAAGTATAACTATCTCCAAATAAGCAACTATACATATAAATTAGCACATACAAATTGGTGACCTGTTTCATCCTCTTTCATTCTTGTGCATGTCCTCCCTCCCTCTCTTTTGCAATTCATAAGCGGTCACCCTATCTTTACCTGGAGTATGATGAGTTCAGGCTTTGTATACCTGCATTAATACTTAAACTCCCTTTGAATTTATCTGATCCAAATCAAGCTGCAAGTAACTGGAGGCCCAGTGCACAAGTTGGAAGGTTAAACTGAATGTCCATATGGTGGAAGAGCAGGTGCACCTTCCTCCCCTAATCTCATGTATGACGCAATTGAATATACATCTTGTAGCTTCAGTAAAGGAGGGTGGTTACTCAAGTTGTTGAGCACTTGCATGGAATACACATGTACATGTGCTTACAGGTCCAACTTTGCTCTTGACTATTTCTCAAATGTGTATTAGATTCATAAGGTTTAGATAAATACTCAAGATTTATATAGATTTTTGTTGACTGGATAAAAGGACTGTGCTTGTTTGAATAATACACTTTGTGAAGAACTGGGTAGTCTAAAACAGACAATAGTTTAGCCAGGCAGGTTTATTTTGCTGCTAGAAATGGACTGTTGAAGGGCTGTTTTTGAGAGCTTCATCATTATTGAGAAGGTCTTTTTTTCTGTTCTGCAACATCAGGTACTGCAAAAAGAACTTTTATCTATGCATCTGAAACTGGTAGACAAACCAGAAGCATTCACTAGAAAATAATTGTTCTGGTTATAAATGATCAGCTTCTTGTGCTGCAGAATGCAGCTACCATATCAGAATAAAAATCAGTACTATACGCTTAAGTCTTGGTTATGTATAAATCCTCATCTTAGACAGAACTATATCCAAAAAGGAAGAAAAAGAAAAATCAGCTTTATGCGTTTTTGTTGTGGAAAAGGTAATTTTTACATCATTTTTGCATTGCCAAGCACTAAATGAATTCATTTCTGTCTGATGGAATCATTCATCGTCATGTTCTAAAAAGCATTTGCTTTTTGGAAAAAATGTCCATGTTGTAGGAATTTGAGATCATACTATCTGGGTGTGGATCAGATAATGGATCTAGACTCGGTTGTAGTTAGGTTCCACTGAAATCAAGAAGTCTGATAAATCATAACTTCTCACATTAGATTAAGTCCTAGTCCTTTCAATGGGTTTACTTTAGGTAGGTCTAACCCAGAATGTAATTCTTAGACTGCATTCAACTTTTTTTAAAACCCACAGCACAATGATTCTGTTTAATTACCCAAGGGAACAGCAGTCCATTTTTGAAGATGGGATGGAAAGGAAATGGTCCAATATCTTATCAAAAGGGACTTAGGCAAATTCATGGAGGATAAGGCCATCGATGGCTACTGGTTGTGCTGGATAAACATTACGTCCTGTATCAAGGATCCAGTAAGCCAGTTGCTGGGGGACACAAGCAGAAGGATGCTCTTGCTTGCAGGTCCTACTCTGCGGGCCTCCCTCAGCCATCTGGTTGGCTAGCAGGGGAACGGAGTGCTGAATTAGATGGCCCTTTGGCAGGACAGAGCAGATCTTTTCTTATGCTCTTGTCTGTGCATTCCATGCCTGCCCTCTTTTCTGTCAATGACCCTTGCCATAGCTTTTGTCTCCTCTAGCTCTTCAAAAAGCAGGAATCATGATATTAGCACCCATTTACATTACACAGAGTCATAAAAATGAATTAGCAAATGCCATTATAGTATTTTTAGAAAATGAAACAGCATTCTCCACTATCTTCCAAGGGACAATGCAGTCCTGCTTATAGGCAGCAGCATAGAATCCTTCAACTTGAGAAAAGGAAATGGCACTGGAAGGAAATCATTCTAAATATTATTTGCTTTCTTGCAGCCACCTGGTTCTCCGTGACAGCGTGCACTTTTTCTTAGATGGTAAGGAAATGCAGCTGAAGTTCCTATCCCAACAATATAGGAATCGAAGATTCAAATATAAGGAACAGACACTTAAAGGATGGAGCTGATCCAGAATTTCTCCTACAAGGAAGAGGAGAAGGCTTTCTCAATAGAAGCATCCCAGTTATGAAATGCTCTCTCCAAAGAGGTTGCTCTTGCTCCAACATTGCTATCAGTTAGGTCTGCTGAGAATCTCTCAGGTGTGCTGGAGTGCAGTTTCTGTAATTTCCAACAAATGTACTGGAAATTATGGGATTTGTGGGCCAACACACCTGAAGGTCACCCAGCTGGGAAAGGTGCCATCATCTTCATTTTCTTTATATTGCTCAATAGCTCTGGGCAGTAGGTACAGTAATGGATGACAAAACAAATACAAATACACAAATACAAATACAATGCAGCATACAGTCTGAAGTTTGATTCATGTGTTAGGAAATTTTTAATTTAGCTAGGCATTATCTGATTTACAGTGCAATAGATTTTTTTCCAAAGTGAGTGAGTATACAGGAATGCGGCTTTAATCCGTTCTAAGATTTTTATCAGCGGGTTCTTTTTGGGGGGTGGGGGGATTGGTTTTATTCTGATTGCCTTCCCAAATTCCAATATGATGAGGTAGCACAGGAAAAAATGTTTTCGGTAGATAAATGTTCCATTTTTATCTTGCTTTTCAGCCATGCTGAACATCAAGGGAGCCTTCACCAGCCTCTCCATCCAGGCACTGACCAGCCCCAGATCTACTTAACTTGAGCCTTATCATTCTGTACCACGAATCAGGCCCTCTGTCAGAAAGTGAATCGAGTGGCTCGCACAAAGTTTTATAAGGCAAACATGTGGACTGCAATCTGGAACCTAGATTAAGGAGGTAGGTCTGCAGAAAGAATCAGAGCTCTTTTCATGGCCTGTTCCCTTGCTTGAGATAGCAATGGGCGAACATTTCATTATTCCCAGTTTTTATGTGAATTCAACACAGTTGCATCTGTTTTGCACATTGAGCAAAGTGTCACAGAGCTGCACACCAAAATGCACACTTTCTGGAACTGAGAGCTACAGTTCTGCTGTGCCCTGCCCCACCTTGCTTTAATGGTGGGCTGGCTACTATGATCTGGGCTACTGGAGGAAGCTTTGGGATGGGGAATCAGGAAACCAGCCACTCCTCAGTGGCAAGATAAAGAAGAGATGAATGCAGGAACAATTGGCCATTTACCTGGGGTGCAGAGGAGGAGCCCAAGAAGCAAAGAGTAATATGATTGGCTAGCTGTCCTGGCATACTGTGCAGACGCAGGAGGAGGAGGACAGATGGAAGCCATAGGTGAAAAAGTGCCACGTGGACCACATGGGCAGATTCTGCCCTACTGGGTAGAGCAGAAGACTCTGATAAGAAGACCCATCCCAAGCCAAGGCCCAAGTGACCTTGTTGGAATTGCATGCCTGGTGAATGTCTTGCTTGGCAATGTGGAGAAAGATGGGAAGGAGAGGTCTGAAATGGCCTGCAGCATGTTGGCATTTCCCCTTGATGGAGTGCGGAGGAGAGGTTCCCCATAGGCTGGAAAAAGTCTCCAGGTGGCTCCTGTTTGAACACAGTGGAGATCACTGCTATGCATGCACACTTCCCTGGGAGTAAGTCCCATGCAAGTCCGTGGGGCTTGTATTTATGTATACGTGCATAACATTGCACAGTTAGTGCAGAAAGTGTTCTGGCTTCAGGTTTTGGGACTAACAAGTCACTTTCACTGTAAAACATGGCTTTATTTGCAACTTGCCACATTGGAAGTTTCTCATATGCATTCACGTAAGAGCTCTCTTAATCAGTGCCTAAAGTATTTTGAATATTTAAGACATTACCTTGATTAGTTGTGTTTGGGGTCCTTGAAATGCTGTTCACTATGGGAAAGGTGGGATAGACAAAAAAACAAAATTAATTTTATTATTAAAAATAGCCTAGTCTGCTGGAGGGAAAGAAGTTTCAAGTAACATTGATCTGTGCCTTTTTGGAAGATCTCTTGATAATACATTCCACATTTCATATGAAAGCTACTTAAAATCATATTTGAAACATATCATTCTAAATTTCTATTTTGCAGAATTGAGCACCCTTTCTGTGCTCATGTTAGGAAATGCAGAAAGTGGCATCATCATATGAAACTTCTATATTGGTATTTTTTAATATACCCTTTTTTGCAGCTTCTTTTTTTCAGTGCAGCATTCCCTTTCCCGCTCATGCCTGGCACCCTCTTGTCCCTTCAGATAAAAGCTCAGTCAGGCAATTGACTATTTTCCTTATTGATTACAATACCTTTAAATGAAAAGCAGCCCCAAGAAGTGCTAATTTTGAATGGGTGAATGCATAGCAGGAACGATGACAAACTATTTTCCTCAGGCTGTTTGCACACAGTTGCGTGCTGTTCCGGATTTATATTTACAACAGCAAGACAGTCCAGAACTCCAGGAAGCAGAGTTGATCTGTCCGTCTGTCCAGCTATGTCTGTGACCAGGTTCCCATGATCACAGAGGAGGAAATAAGCCACAATAGCACATTTCCCCTGCCATGTGCATTGGTCATGTGCCATGGGGCTTTGCATAATTACCCTTGGCAGCATGGCTTGTGATGGCAACGATGGCTTGTTGCCATGGTTAACAAGCCACCCAGGACCACGGCCGGTTATAGGGATCTGGAATGGTTTGTCAGCTATGACAAAAGCTGCCCTCATGAACAATTAGGCAAATCCCAGTGCCCTGCAGATGACTGACATGCAGGGCAGGGGAAAGAAGCAACGCCCAGGGCTCCTTTCTTTCTCTTTCCATTCTAAGTCTTTTGTAGAGCTTTTGTAAAGTTAATGGCTCTTAATTACCCATTCAGGAATAAACTCAAAATACTTTACACTGCCACAAGGAACAATGTATTGCAGCTGAGAAAATCCACTTCTCCCCCATTAGCATTCAGTTAGGTGGACAGTCCAAAAATTCATATCCCTACTCCAAATACACAAATGTATTGGCTGATGGAAGGTCTTACTTTCATTTGCAGGAGGCATGGAAGAGCTGCCTCGGGAAGGAAGGGGCAGAGTCATTCACTTCTCCTAGCCCAGTCGCATGCACCCAAGTCTGGATCCAACCCACAGTAGTGGCCCAGCTGTGCAGCCGCCTCAGTCTGCCAAGCCATGTTCCACCCTGCTTCATCTTTCAACCCCAGAACCTTCTTTAGGAAGAACTCTCCTGTAGCTTCAGTGGTTTCATGGGTGTGAGTAGCTACTGCGATATTTACAACCCTCTGCAAGTATACAGTGTTGTGCCTAGCTCCCCTTGTGGTTCCTTCATTCCCCCTACCTCTCCGGTTGGCCAGCTCTCGCCTCTGATGCTCATGTTTCAGATCCAACTCACTTCCAGAGAAAGTGTTCTCCTATTGTAAGTACCCTCACACCAATCTGTGCCTTCTGCTCTAGGCATCCAGCTTCACAATACTACATGGAATATCTTCTACATGGAAGACAGTTCAGACTGGAAATTGAGTACTTTCATGTGAAAGCAATGGATATGGTGCAATGGGTTTAATCCAGTCCACAGACTCTTAAAGCACTGGCAGGAGCTAAACATAATTGTTTATATGAATTATGTTGACTGATATATATAGAAAATTGAAGTGCACCAAACAATTCTAAACATGAGAGCTTACCTGTGGAGTTTGGGCTGCTTTCATATGCAGATGATCCTGCACAGAGAATGTTACATATTCAGAGTGATTTCATTTTGCAGTTCAGGTTAGTGTTACAAAAAACAATCTAAGGATGAATGGATGGACTGTATTATTACTGACATTCTATCAGGCGCATGGTACCTTGTCCCACCCTGCTTTTCCATACAACAAGCCCGTAGGAAGAGTGGGCTGTAGGACAGTGAATGGCCCAAGGTTTCCCAGTAAATTTTCTGGACAAGAGAGAATTTCACATCTAGCTCTCTCATGCCCTGGTCTGACATTCTACTACAGCTTCTCTTTACACTGGTGCTCTCCAGCTGGGCCAGACTTAAACACCCGGAAATCCTAGCCAGGGAGTTGCAGGCTAACACATTTGGAAGAGCCCAGTGTGGGACACAGCTGCACTACCCTGAGCACACTGATTGTCTGGGTTTGTTGCTGCTGAGTTCAGAATAAACAATGGCCAATGGAGTTATTTGCTAGCTGGAACTGCTGGGTGCCACGAAATGCTAACTTGAGGGAATAGAAAGTCCTACCCTTATCTGTACATGCTGGTAAATAGTGGCAAAACACTTCTCCCTCTGGCAGTAGAAGTACAATAACAACAAAGTAAAAGATGAACAATTTCTGCTTTTTATGATACTCTGAATCTGCATATGGAGGCTCTCTCATTTTGTCTAATGGTAGGACCAGCTCTAAAGCAGTTTCAGCTAACAAACTACCTCACTAGGCATCACTAGCTAGAGTCAAAGCTAAAACAGAAAGGTAGATCCCACAATTTTGAATTAGATATACCATAGAAGAACTGGGGATATAATGCACACAAAGCCTGTGTTCTTTCACCAAGCTAGGAACCAAGCAGTTGGGGTCAACACCATCTTATTTGGATTCAAAAGATAGGCTTTGTGTGTTAGAGCTCAGATCCCATCTCTGCCTTCTACTTCTTGGACTAGTTACTTTTCTTTTAGTCTCACCAATTTGACTTCTGAGACAGCCAGGATCATCCTAATAGCCATTTCATGCATGGCAGTCCCCACAGCAACCATTTTGTGAAAACGCCCACAACAGTCTCTCAAAATTCCAAATAAGCCACCAACCCAAAAACTTGGGCACCTTGGTCATAATCTGTACTATGCCACTGCAATTGATATATCAAAGAAAAGTTCATAGTCCATCTACTGTGATTTTTCCCCTGATCATTTTACTGAGGTGGGGGAGTTTGGTATTTCTCCCACCGCTGCAGCCAAGATGTTCCCTACCTGCTGTCTTTTTGTCAAGGTCTTACTTCAATAATGAATCAAGCCATCTGTTCAACTTATCAACTTAGGGATTAGCATGAATGAAATAGGCTTTCTTCCCCAGATTTTCACAGGTGGAAACACAAACGTATGCTAGGCTGTGGCAACAGACAAAGTTGTCTTCTAGCTAGGAATGCAAGTGAATTTCATTCCAGTTTGCAAATCACCTGAATATGTACCTTTTGCAACCCTGATTGTGAGTTTTCCAGAAAAGAACATTCCTGAACTTGTAATCACATTAAAACATGTATTTTTTAAATGCACATGTGGAAATACAATCAAATACAATTTTTCATGTTTTTGCCAGTGGGGAGAAATTGAGAACTTCTGAAACGCACACAGAAATGCAGTAAAGTTTGGAGAATTTCAGTGAGCTCAAACATCTCTGGTCTTCCTCTGGCAGAAAGCCACCTCTGGCAGAAAGCCACCCATTCTTGAGAGACGATTAAAGGTAAGTTGATTACACTGCTGATCCTTACCAGAAACATTTTGCCTGTTGTTGGATGTCGGTGTGGTTGCTGGTGCTGCTGTTGCTGGTGCTGGTGCTGTTGGTGCTGGTGCTGCTGTTGCTGGTGCTGGTGCTGGTGCTGTTGTGGGTGTTGATATTCCCGTTTCCTCTGCTGAAGATAAAAACAATGAGTGTTAGCCATTGTTCTCAGGCATCTCTGTCAAAGGACTAATTAGCGCTCAAGCAAAGGCAGTGGGATGCAAGACCCAGGAGCCATTCTGCTGAGCAGCTGCTTGAACAGTTGGTAATGCTGTCCTTTGATGGTTTATTGATTAACTTTTTCTGTTATACCGCACCATTTGTTTAGCAGTATGGGGATATTCCAGCTAATTCTGGAGCATCGTTCCCCACCATTTATCACAACTGCCCTCAGATATTTTTTCCACCACTGCTGACCATTGGCCAGGCTTGCTGAGGCCACTGGGAGTTGTAACTGAGACACCAGACACCAGAATGGAGGACACCAGCTTGTCTCCCCTTGCTCTACTAGTAGCAGATTATTTCTGACTGCATCCTTTTTGATATGCTCTTTAATGCCACTGCTTTACACCAGCCCCTCATTAAAATGAGAACAACTCTTAACTTCACCTCTTGATTTTTCTTGCCAAAATAATGATCATTTCACAAAAGCTACTTTAAAAAAAATTGCTATGTGCACCCTACTTCTCAGAGCAGCGAGGTGTTCCATAAATACAGCATTTACATGGACTTTCCTTCCTTTGGAAGGAGGGATCATGAAAAATGTGTAACATCTGAGCTTATTTATAAAATGAACTGGCATGGAGCTCAACACACAACAACTGTTCAGTGGCCTACACCAGATTTACATAGAGGAAAAAATTGTAATCCCTCAAAGTTTTCAATTTATGGAGCCTACAACCCCCTTCAGCTATCTCCATGCTTCTTCTTTAGTCCGACTAAAATAAACTGTTGGAAAGCCTATTTTTCTCTTTTTCGTCACAGACACCTAGCTTGGCCCCTTCCTTTGGCTGGAGGTAGAAGATTAGGATGAGTCATCTTATCCAGCCATTTTGTCAGCTTTCTGTCCATTTCCCTAACAAAAGATGTGCCTGACCTGCTTTGCCACTGACTATTAAAGTTTCAAGCTTCCTCTTTGACTCGCCAGCCCACTCTTGAAGAGACTGAAGCATCGGAAGGGTGTGTGTTTATTAGGAAGATGTCAGATTCAGCCACACACAGCATCACAACAAGGAAGGGAAAGCAACTTGGTTTTCTCATGCTGCTACCCAATAGAGATAATCCTGAAACAGACTAATGCAAAGGTTGGAGACTTAAAAAAAAAAGAAATCGGGGCTTTTGTTCCACCTGAGCCAAACACTCAGAGAGGAAGCAATCAAGTGGTGCTCTAATAAGCTAAGTGAAGGCCTGGGGGGACACAGAAAAGTACTGTGGGCAGTGGGTGGTGGGGTAGGGACAAAACATTCAGAAAAATACCTCTTCCTCCCAACTTTTCCAAAATTACTGGAAACAACAACCCCTACTATTTTGTTCTGTATCCCTCAGTTTTTCCCCCAGCCCCTCACAACCTTAATATTGATGGATTTTTGGTGGATCCTAAGGGCACAGAGTACCTTTGAAAACACAGATCACGTTGGGTGTACTTTTAAGGTTCTCTTCGATCTCTCTCTCTCTCATTCTCCCTCTCCCCCTCCCCCTCTACCTGCCACATTCCCTCTGTCAGCCCCCTGCTCTGTCAGCCACTTTCTTCTCTTCCTGCTACCTCCCTTTTTCTCTCTCTGTCATGTGCATTTGGTGCCAGTGATAGAAGTCCTTGGATTGCTGAGCACTATTATTAGTACATTGCATTTATATCCTGTCTTCCTTCTTCCTGTGAGGAACCCAAGGTAGCTTACATAGCTCCATTTTGTTCTTGAAACAACAGGCTCCATGAGATTGGTTGGGCTATGGCTGGTCTATGAGAGGCTATGACTGACTCTAACTCACCCGGAGAGCTTCATGGTTGAGTGGGGACCAGAATCCATGTCTCCTCTATTCCCAGCCCAACAATCTTCCACCACACTTCTCTTGTGCCCAAGAGAAGCCTTTACAAGTGTGCATTGAGCCAAGAACTGTTCCAACTCATGTTTTCAGAGGTGTCCCTCCTCTTTATGTGTCCTGTCATTGAGAATCCAGCTAAATGAATACAAGTCAGTTTTTGAAAACTTTGGAGAAAGATCCCACCACATGTCCACCAGTACTAGCCTTGAATTAGGTATGGTAAGCCAGGAAAGCCCTACTGGAGGAGACCAATGGCCAGCCTTCTGTTCCTTCAGTAGCCAGTTAGACGCCTCTGGAGACCCACAGGTTGGACATGAGGGAAGCCACACCTCCTGCTCATGTTCCCCATCAACAGGTACGCAGGACCTACTGCCTCTGATTCTGGAGGGCATACAGAACCATCATGTCTCACAGCCACTGGCTGCCTTACCCAGTATGATTTCCTCTAATCCCTTTCAAAGCTCCCTGGGTTGGCAGCCTTCTCTACATTTTTGGTAGAATTCTTTTGCTTATGTGCTCTGTGAAAAATTATTTCCTTTTTTTGTCTTGAACCTCCGAGCATTCAATTTTATGGAGTGATTGAGTTCTAGTATTATGAGTGAGGTAGAAAAACTTCTCTCTGTCTACTTTCTGAGTTTAGGATACATTTAGTATAAATACAGTAGGAGAGATCTGGTTTGTTTTTATTTTGTTTTGTTTTTTTAAGATACCGGTTTGCAGAAACAACAAAAAATTGCTTGTTATGAAAACTGCACCTTAAAAAGGACAAGAAAGCAAGAACAGGAATTGGGTGGTGTCTCTGACTAGGTGCTTATTTCAGCTCCTGCAATTATATGCAGAAGCAGATAACACGGCTATATAGCCAAAACCAGCTAGGATATATACTTAGGCTTAGTATAATTTATTTCCAGTAAATATACTTTGGCGACCCTATTCTCAACACATGGACTTTGCTGTGCAAAGGTCAACACGCTATGTTAAGCATAATTATATGGCAGTTATTATAGTGTGAAAAGCAAATTATAGTCAAGGATCCAGACACAGAAAAAGTCTGTTGACAATGATGACAGATCTGATTTTTTCTGTGCCATGTGCCATATAAATTGCAATCCTCTTTTCAGAAAGTATGTACTTGCCTAGAGGTGATGTTTAGGGATATAGTGTGGGCAGAGGAAATTATGTAACTAGAACTACTGTACTGCTCACTGAATAGATGTACAGGCTGGTGTGTCTCTTTAAAAGCAACCGACATTAATAAGATTTAAATAGCCTTGTTGGGTGCCTGCTGTGTGTAATCCTTTGAGCACTGAGAAGAGCAGACATGGACTGTGTATCAAAATAAACTTTAATATAAACAGTTAGCATTTAAGAGGACGAAATTATGATGCCAAGGGTTTGTGTTCATTGCATTAATACAATCTAATTAAGAGTCAAACTATACATTACATTACAGGCATAGCATGCAGTTGCCCATGTTCTGTAGCATGCTGCCTCCGAGATCTTAGGCACTCCTCTCTTCAGTTTGGATGGCCTTAAAGGGGGATTGGACCAGTACATGGAGGAGAAGACTCTCAATAGCTCCTAGAGCTGGTGGCTCTATGCTGTCCCCAGGATTGAAGCACCAGTTGCTGGGGAACTTCGATGGGATGCAGGTGTTTTGCTCATGTCCATGTGTGGCCTTCTCCTGGGCAGCTGGTTGGCCATTGCATGACAGAATTCACACAATGAATTATGTTGGATTAGATGCACAGCTGGTCTGATCTAGCCTGACTCTTCTTATGATCTTTTTTTTTTAATTATTCACAAGCAAGCATTTGGGGCCCTGATCCAGACTGGAGGCACCAGATGCAAATAGAGATGAGTTGAACTTTCCCCCAGCTCTCTGTATATTAATGTCCCTGGGAAGATTTTTCTAAAAGTTGGGAGGGGAACTCCATTTGCACAAAAATAAAAAAGTGTTTTCTTTTTTAAAATCATCATGGTTTTAAATAGCTGGTTGTTGTTTGCTATTGGTTGTAGGATTTTTCCCTGTATAAATATGCATAGGATTGTAGCTTAAAATGATTAATTTTTGCTTTGCATGTTTTAATTTTGTTTAGTTCAATGGATCCTTTGATAAACACTTGGAACTGGGATTAAGGAAATTTATCATAGGTAGCATATGGGTGGACACAGAATTTCTTGGATTGCTAGCTGTGAGGTCAGACACATGCTCCATCCTTGTAGCTGAGCATCCATGCTTAGATTCTTTTCCTTCTTAGAGCTGGCAGAGAATGGAACGGGAAAGAATTCTTTCCAGTTCTTAGAGAAAGAATGAAACTGGCTGTTTCCCCTCTCAGAAGTTGTGGTCTCAGAGAAGGGATTTTGGAAACATTTCAGGGGTCAGGGAGGAGAGGAGATCACTGCTAAAATAGGGCATATCCTGGTGGTGCCTCAGCCTTGTCTGCTCCTGCTGCAAAGGGCTCTACTTAGCCGAAATTGGCCATCTAAGTTCTTTGAGTAGTGAGAGGAGTGTGGTGGCAGCCTTGGTGTTCCTCCCACGCTCCATAGATGTCCATAGTCCTCCAACCTTCCTGACATTGGATTGGCTCATCTTCTTGATGTCACTTGACATCCTGAAAGAACACTTCACTTAATCATGGTGGTATTCTGTGGCCACTGAATGCTGTCTGGTTGGAGAATGTGGCATTCCAGCTCCAACCTAAGGAACTGTCTCCAAGGCTGGAGGTAGAACCCTTGGCTCAGAGCATTCCTCCTCTGTCTTGACAGTGGATGAAGAAAGAACTGGGTTGGCTAGAACTGATAGGGCAGATGAAACATGGAGCTGGCCATCATTTCTGCACTCCTTCTGCCTTCCATAGGATGCCTGTAATCCTCTGAGTTCCAAATATTACAGGCAACTGCACTGGACTGTGCTGGTACAATCTGCCCCCCATGTGTGTGTGCACATGCATGTGCAAGGAATTAGATTTAAAAATGAGACCAAATATGGTGAAAATGAAAGCTGAGTAGGTTTGATAAAGGAACAGCCTTAACGAGGTTTCAGTTGGACACTGCCTGGATTGATGTTACATTGAGTAGTCTGAAGAA